CAGCTCAGGGGGCAGGAGTGTATGGAGGGATGGACACTGGGAAGAGGTAACTATGGGGAGGAAGTGGGAGGGGATCTGTTGCATTGTGGTAATCTGTAGTCAATGACATGAGACAAAGTATATATGAACTGCTATATGGAAAGTGAATTTGCTCTGTAAATCTTCACCCAAATCACAAAAAAAAAAAAAAAAAAAAAATGGCCATTGAGATTTTGATGGGGATTGCATTGATTGTGTAGATTGTGTTGGGTAGTACTGACATCTTAACAATGTAAAATCTTCCAATTCATGAACATATTTAGGATACTTTTACAGATGCTCTTAATGAGACTAGGTCCATCACATGACTGATGACATGTGATATCCATAGATTGCTCTCCTCTGACAATTGCGTAAAAACAGCCGCAGCTTATAATACCACATAAGCTAGAGATGAAAATGTGAAAAGTCATCATATTTGGGGGTAACATCAATGGGATAGAGTAACTGAGAGTTTGATCTGAATTAATTGTTTTCTTTATTTTATCCTTCCACACAAACTTCTATTTTTAATAGGAGTCTAGAAAAACATTATTATGTAAATAGGTGAGAAATAGGCAGTGAATCTTCCTACTCTAAAAGCTATAAAATTTCCAAAGCCATCATAACCTAAACTGGAATTTAAAAGGGTAGCAATAGGAAAGAGGGATTGACTATGGCAATTTATTATGCTCCATACATGGTTGAGTTGTTAGGGTATTTTATTCCAAGTGTTTTGTTGGAATTTAATGTTGATGCCTTTCTTTGGCATAATGATCTTCACAAGCTGAGATCCTGACCATCAGGCAGAAGTCCTCATGTATGTAAGGAAATGTCCTGGTGAAGGTCCATGCCAATCCCATTTTACTTGGAGAGGCAGTTTTCTTCATTGACTGCACTGTAAGCTCTTAAGGACTTCCCTGATTCTAGTTCCTCTTTCTAATAGCAGTCTGTCTTTCACTGCTACATCCTGTTAACTCCCCAGGATCAGAACATTCTCTTCCAAGTCTGAAAATCGCCAAGTCTGCATTTATACGTTAAGACTCAAGGGCCCTTTTTGCTTTTAGTTTTACTAGGTTCTGTATCCAGTAGAGCTAGGTTTTAATTTTGTACAACATCAGTTGGTGCTTCTAATTTATGACTTGTATTTATATAAAGTGAATTAATTGCCTGCTCTATTAATTCTACAAAACCCATGGATCCTTAATGTTCAGTTTGCTTAGAATGAGTAACAGTGTTCCTTCTCAAATATGACTTCTTGCTGAGCTTTAGAAATGTTATGTTTAGGTAGCACCCTTGTATCCTGGATGATTTATTCACTTTTATATTTTCCAGAATTTATTGCTAAAGGTTGATCTGAAGACTTATATTTGGGGCTATAATATAATCTCCTGAATGGCAATTAATAAATAAAAGATGGTTACTGTTGTTGACAGAGGAGCGAGGCTTTCTCAGATAGTTTTCATCTTCCTGTTTTCACCAAACTTCCTATCAGACATCCCTTGGGGTTGATGGTATAAAATATTTTCTATAAACTGCCAGGCTTTTACTATTGCTTCAATACCACAAACCTCTGTGTTGCCTTTTGTTTTCTTGTCAGATATGATCTTACTCAATTTCAGTTTCTTCAATTTGTTTTCCTTCCTGGGAATATAAGAAATATGCCTTTTTATGGATTTAATAGTAACATATCCTCAATTTTTATGACTTGCAACTAGTACCTGAAACCTGTTTTCTGAATTTTTTTGTAATTTTTTTTTTTTGTTTTCTGGCTTAGTCTTATCTTTGTGCATTTATTGAAAATACACTGGGATCCATATAATGAAATATCTGCTGTTACCAAGTATATTGTTCAAACTGCAAAGTTACCTCCTGTGAGTTAATTATGAATCTACAAAGCAACATTCAGTTTGTGCAATTTGTCCATATGACTGGACTCCAGAGTTAATGCTCTTATTTTAGAGAGGAGGAGACTGTAGTGTAAGTGGATTGCCCATAATCAAGCAGCTGGTTAAGGGGCAGAAGTTGCTCTGAAGACTTACCCCACAATTTCTGGTTTGGTTTGTGGAGAGCAGAGACTGAGTACATCTTTAGGCAATGAAATACATGGCACAGAGCAAGAATTCTATAGTTAAGACTGCCTGAATTCAGCTCTCAGTTCTGATACTTATTAAGTACATAAGTTTGAACTAGTTATTTAGCTGCTCTGTGCCTCCCCTAAGGAGCTCTGGTGGCATAGTGGGTAAGGCATTTGGCTGCTAACCAGAAGGTTGGTGGTTCCAACCCACTCGCTGCTCTGTGAGAAGAAGATGAGGAAATCTACTTCTGTAAAGATTTACACCCTTGGAAACCCAGTAGAGGTCGCTATGAGTCAGAATGGACTCAATGGCAGTAGGTTTGGTTTGATTTTTTTTTTGGTGCCTTCATTTCCTCAGCAGGAAAATGGGGCTACAGTAGTACCAGTAACACAACTGTGAGGATTATAATTAGTATATAAAGCACTTAGAAAAGTGCTTGACACAATTAATTGCCCCATTCACTGTGAGCTATTAGCATCGCTGTCATTACAGTAACTGATTCTAGAACACTTGGAGCAAGTGTATTGTTATTTAACTTTATATATGTGTATGTATATGCATTAGACCTATACTGCACTTCTTTTTTCTTCCTTGTATTACGTAAAACTGTGCTAAACAACTGGAAACAGTGTTTATAGTGTTCAGGGCGGCAACATTAGAAGAAGCAAAAATTTTAATGATGATAATAAAAGCTGGTGCCGTTTATTGAGCCTTACTATGTGGTAAGAATTGAAATATGTATTTTATGTACATGATCCTACACCGAAATTTGTTTCCAGAAATTCAAGTGTAGTCTCTTTATGACAGTAATCCCCTTTGTGACTGAAGAGGTGCATGAGCTTTGGTCCTAGTGGAAAAGCTCTGAGTATGGAAACAAGAGCCCTGATGGAATTCTTCCCATTTTAAAATGATGGTCGTGCTACTAATCTTTATACGGCCTAATCTTGTTACAGAAAAGTGGAGGACTGGCTTGGGGAGGAAACAGAGGTCAAGGCAAGAGGTGAGGGGAGGGAGAAACAGTGCAAGACAAACAGCACAAGTGGAAAATATTATCTAAAAAAACGCAAATTGTCAAAATTCACTTATGTTTCATTTTTTTATTTTTGTAATTTTATATCATATAAAATGTTTTCCCCATTTCTAAATGCCCCAATAGAAATACTCTTAGAACAGTACACATTGACACACAAAAATTGTTTACCGTTTTGCTATTGACTAAATGAACTGCATCACCATACATTAAGAGCCACTAAAACCAGTGCTGTCAAGTCAATTCCAACTCATAGCCGATTCCAACTCCTTCAGAAGCAGACTGCCAAATCTTTGTCCCCTGGAGCCGCCGGTGGGTTCAAACCGCTGACCTTTGGTTGGCAGCTCTTTAATCACTGCACCACCAGGGCTTCTTACTAGCCACTCCAAACCAAAAAACCAAACTCACTGCCATCGAGTTGATTCTGGTTCATAGAAACCCCTTTTGGATTTCCAAGGCAGTAAATCTTTACAGAAGCAGATTTCCCAGTCTTCCTTCCGTGGAATGGCTGGTGGGTTTAAACCGCCAACCTTCTGTATAGCAATCAAATGCCTTAGGCATTGTTCTGGTTACCGAGTGCCACTCTGACAGAAATATACCACAGATGGGATGGCCTTAACAAACAGGAGTTTATTCTTACAGTTTGGAGGCTTTAAGTCCAAGTTCAAAGTGCCAGGCTCTAGGGGCTGGGTGGAAGCCCTTCAACCTTGGGGTCCAGCTCTGCCTCCTGCTTCCGGCCCATTGGAGCTAGAGGTATTTCTTCACTCAGACAGCTGCTGGCTGCTGAGAAGCCCCAAGGTTGACAAGTAAAAAGGTACAGTCCCGATGTTACCAAAGCACATGGCAGGCCATTAACTTAAATCCACTGTAAGTCTCAAGGTCGGCAGAGCATAGCAGGCTGCTGAGCAATGACACCGCTATATGCAGGGTCCAAATTTGCCAAAGGCTAGAGACCACTCCCAAAGTTTCTCCTTATATACAGGAAGCAGACCACATCCCAAAGGCAGCTATTCAGCTGCTTGTGGTAGATCCTACCAAGGAGTTGATTGCCAGTCTCCTCATGGGGATTAACTACCACCAGCTGCCCAGCCACTCAACCAGGCCCAGCTAAGTTGACACACAAACATAACTACCACAGGCATTATGCCACCAGATGGTAAAATATTGAATCACAAATAAATTGCAAGCACATCAATATTCCAGTACTCTCAGATTTGCATGTACAGTTTGTTCTTTAGTCATCATCAACACAGAGATGGCTGTAATGAAAACTACCGTATATATAGGAGTGCCTTGGAGAAGTACTATGAGAGAAGCACTATGTCAAGTGTTCTGTGTATGTGAGCATGTGGGTGTTTATATTACACATTTACATATACATATGCACTCAAATATATCATCTCTATGGATAGCTACAACCTTTCAAATTCATATATATATATATATGTATGCATGCATATACACACAAATGCATCTAAATTTCTATATCATATACCATATTTTTATGGAAATAACACACAGGTTGTATGTTTTTCCAAACCATGCAATCTTCTCATGCATTAGTTTCCTGTGTGCACCATGCATGTTGTATGAGTGTGCACATTATTTACGTGGGTGCGTTGTATGTGAAAATGTGGTGTATTATCGTTTAAAATCTTCACAACTTTATAGAAAAGGAAACCAAGGCTCAGAGAAGTCACTCACTTGCTCAAGGTCAACAAAAGTAGCAAACCTGGAGTTTGACCTCAGGTTCCACCTACTTAGAGCCTCCTTTTTGAATCCCCAGAAAGAAATATTCTTAGAACAGTAAGTCTTTTCACTATACCACATTGTGCCATTTGGAAAAGGATGACCTTTTGCCCTTTCTTTTCCAGAATCTCCAGGCAAAGATTTTGGTCCAACTCTGGGCTTGAAAAAATCCAGTTCCTTAGAAAGTCTGCAGACTGCTGTCGCTGAGGTCAGAAAGAACGAACTTCCTTTCCACAGGCCCCGGCCACACATGGTTCGTGGCCGCGGCTGCAACGAGAGCTTCCGAGCAGCCATTGACAAATCCTACGATGGGCCTGAAGAATTTGAAGGTGGTAGGGAATGTGCTTCCTTAAGTGGTTTCTCCGTCTTGCTATTATCCACGAATCGTGAGCTAGAATGTGTGCTTAACTACAGAGAAAAATGATTTAAGGATCACAATTATATTTTTGATATTAAAAGTAATTCATTTTCCTGATATGTTTTGCCCTTTGGCTTAACGAACATGGAATTGGATAACGCAAGATGCAATTTATTTTACAGTGCAAACGCTAAAAAAAATGTTCTCCTTCACTTTCCTACAAGGACCAACTGTCATTTGCCCTTAGGATAGAAGCACTAAGTATGCATTTCTTGATGTTCAAGTCATTAGACTCAGCGACATCAACCCCAGGACTGACTGCATTAATTGGGTAGAAGTGGTTGTGTTTTATTTGTACTCAAAAAACCTCTCTTTGAAATAAACTCTTCCTGTTTGCTTCCCAGCATGTGGGCTTTTGGAGCTGATCAAGGTTAACAGGCCCGCTTTCTAAGAGATTAGTGTTTTACCACATAGCAAGCTTTTCATACACCAGCCAAGCAATTGCAGTTGTCCCCAACTCCCAACATCAAACCTTGCTTGAAGTAACCAGTTTTCAGGCAGTCATCTCTTCAAAGGGTACAAGTAGTTACACGGAAGGGGTAGCGCTCCAGAGTGCTTTTATTCATTCTTCTGTATTTTACATTTTAACTTTTCTTTCTACGCTAACAGTAACTGCCCCTGACCGTGTGTATTGATTTTTTTTTTTTTCTTTCTGTACAGACAGTCTGTCTGATAAGAGCTCTCACTCTGGCCAAGGAGCTCTGAATTGTGAATCTGCCCCTCAGGGGAACTCTGAGCTAGAGGACATGGAAAATAAAGCCAGGAAACTCAAAAAACCCAAAGAGAAGGAAAAGAAAAAGGAAAAGGGCAAGTTGAAAGTCAAGGAGAAAAAGCGAAAAGAGGAAAATGAAGATCCAGAGAGGAAAATAAAGAGGAAAGGATTTGGCGCCATGCTGAGGTACGGGCCTCCTTGGAAGGCAAAGTTGGTTTTGTATCTTTTGTTTCTCTTTAGTGCTGGTGAAATCACTCATTTGTGTGTTCTTGGGAAAATATGCAAAATTTCCCTCTTCTTGAGCTAAGTGCAGAAATGTAAACTTTGAATATGCTTGTTCCTTGTCTGCAGAGCCCAAAGCAGCCTTCTTGAGTTGCTCCTGAAGCTTTTGGTGATGAAAAGAAACTGTTATAAGTCTGTTTCAAAGAAGGGCCAACACTTAATAGAGGCATGGACAATGCACATAGCCCTTGGTACAAAGCATTATATGGGTAAATTACATGATTCTTCACATCAGGTACTGGGAAAGCAAGAGGCAAGAAAGTCCTCAATAGTCACCTCTACAACCTCTCCCGTGATGGCGTAGTGCCTAAGGCATTTGACTGCTAACCAGAAGTCTGGAGGTTCAAACCCACCAGCCACTCCTCAGAGAGAAGACTGGGCAATCTACTTCTGTAGAAATACTGCCTCAGAAACCCAAGGAGGGGTCACTATGAGTAGGAATCAACTTGACAGCAGTGAGTTTGAGTCTGGGTATATGAACCTAATGTTCTGTGATCCTAGGGATTGTGCATTGGTCCTGTGGGTACTTCATCGTCACCTTCAGAAGCTCTGTGGTGCAATGGACATGTCCATGGACGTGCAGCCAGATGGTGCTGGTCTGAATCTGTGACCCTGCCCACACAAGCTACAGTGCTTCAGGAATGTGGCTCACCTTCCTTGAGCCTTATTTTCCTCACTTTTAAAAAGAGGTTAGCATATTGGCTCTAAGAATTGGTGTTGTGAGACTGGGAAACAAGATTTCTTATCAATTGGTGCATTGCCTAAGCATAGCTCAGCAGGGTATTATCAGAGAAGAGCTTTATTTCTTCTCTGACAGCTCCTTTCATATATGTTTTGTTGATGCTCTGATGTCTTCTCCACCTTGATGACCTCTTAGCTTTCAAGTGACCTTTGGGTATTAAAACAATCTCTTTGTTAGTGGTTGGCTAAAAAGTCCAATCTAATCTAAATCCAAATGTCCCTTCTCCTTGCCCCTCAGAGCTCAGTCCCTCAGTGAGGGCCCTACACTGTGGTCAGAGACAGGATTCTATTTGCTGTTCCTTCTCAGTCTCCAGAACCAAGGACAGGAGAAGAGCATGGTTAAAACAGGATCAAGTTTTGCTTAACTGGAGTATCTAATATAATCTGGCTGCAGTGACCCTGTGTGGGCCACTTAAATGGATTCTTCCAAAAGTTTTCTTCTACACTAGTCCCTGACATACGAGATTCATGTTCCCGCTCACTACCTGAGATCCTTTTACCCTTATCCTCTGACCTCAGGTAATACATCCCTGGAGTCTCTCACTGTGGCTGGTAGACTTCTTGATGGTTTCAGTTCAAAATGACTCTCGCTCTGACTTCCTTCCTTCTTGGCACTAGAAATACTTACCTCTTGCGCCCAAAAATTACAGATGTGCATCCTCTCCTGCTACTCCTCTTTTTCTCCTCACCTGCCATAGGGATTCTCCAAACAGCCTCACATCACCAGCCTTCTCCAAGGCAGAGTTAAGGGTCAGGCTTTGTGCCTCTCCAGCTTGAGGAGCACTTGCCAAACTCTGGCAAGAACTCTCTCTTGCATGAGGATGGGAAACATCAACAAAATTTTGCAGGTCATAAAGCAAACAGGTGGAAGTGGGATGACATTCTTTTTATAAAATCATTCCATATTCTTTGATGGGTCCTGTTATAGGCTCTCTTACCTGTTTTGCTGGAGTGGGAAGGGGAAGTTCCCCTTTACCTTACTTTCTTTACTTCTGTGACTTCCCATCAGAGAGTCTATCTCTTTGATGAATTTCTATGCTTCTCTTATATGGACTGAAAGTGAGTGATGGGAGGTAATAGTTGATAGGCTAGTGGCCATCTCTCATTAAATCCTCATAAGATATCTATCTTAAGAATGCTGGGTGCTACTTGTCACTAGTTGTTCTCAGTTTGGGATGTTCAACTAAAACTTCCAGACATAAAGGAAAGTTTCATTTCATATATGTTACATATATGAGAAAGAACCTTATAAACTTCACAGTGACGTTTGGGGGCCATGAATAATTTTGGCACCAGTGAGCTTTCCCAGTATGTGTCCAGTGCTCATGCGAGGCTATGCCAGTATCCCTCTGTTTGACATGATGTAGTATGACCTGTCATGGTTCTGTCATTACTTAAGCTGAATTCACCCTAACTTGCTTCATATTCTCGCAGTCACCTGACCTACAGTGCAGAAAATGCCTGTGGGACAAATCTCTCAAAAGGCATTTTTTTCCCCTGTATGGACTCTGCCTTTCCATTTGCTGTTTAGAATTTCAAACTCACCTTTGTTCCAAATCATTATCATGGCTGCCCGAACTTTTGTGGATCATGACTTAACTATCCTGATAATAATAACAGCATGTAATATATTTAGATGGATTCTTGACTTTGAAGTTATGTAGTTCATAGGTTCAAAGTACAGGCTCTGCATGTGGACTTCGGATTGTGTATCCTGTCTCCTCTACTTTCTGTCTAAGTAATATTGGGCAAGTTATTTCATTGCTTTGTGCCTCAGTTTCTACACCTGAAAAATGATAATACTAATAGAATTGATAATTGCTATGATAATTATATTTATTTAATATGCTTATAAGAGTGCCTGGCAAATAATAAATGCTATTTAGTAAGAAGAATAATGCCCCACTCCAAAAATGTTCATGTAGTAACCCCTGCTACTTGTGAATACATTATGTTACATGGGAAAGGAAAATTAAGGTTGTGTATGGACTTAAGATTTCCAATCAACTGACCTTAAAATAGGGAAATTATCCTAAATTATCTAGGATAATTTATGGAGTTCTTAAAAGTAGAAGAGGGGGAGTTCCGGCAAGATGGCGGACTAGGCACAAGGACTGCACAGACGCTCTTCAACAAAGAAAAGGAAAACCAATTAACACAGACACAGAAGATAATCTTGGACCCCTGAGCCTTGAAGGGAAGGATACAAAAGTGGACTAAACCCCAACTA